GAATGTTTTGGAACAGGTTGCATTTATTCCAGCTGCAGCTCCTTTTAAATATAATTTAATAAAGAAAAACTAAAAGATTACTAAATATTGAAATAAATATCATCTTTTGTTAGACACCCTTCATATGTTATAGATATGTGTACTCCTTAATTAGAAAACAACTCATACACGTTTCTTTTGAACATTTATCCAATTACACCTTCGCCCTTATCTTGATTTTTGATTCCGCGACCAAACCAAAAAATCTCACGCATGCTCCCACCATCCCCAAACTAAAAATACAAATAAACACTTTGCAACAAAGAGTACATTCCAAGTGCGGGTGCAGGTCTTGGCGTGGGCTCGGAAGGCGCTGCAGGCGAAAAGAACATGCACGATGCTGAATTCACGTGTGCTCTATTCCGCTTCATTCAACTTACATGCGAAGGCCACAACTTGGGTTAGTATAAGGAAATCGAATAAATGCAAGTTGTCATTTTATTAAAAAACGCAAATATTTTCAGACTGGCAGAACTATCTACGCACACAAGCAGGTAACACTACCACAGTGAACGTGGTAATATGTACTGTGGATTACTTGCTACGACTGCAAGAATCAATAATGGATTTCTACTGGCACTATTCGAGTAAAGAGATCATTGATCCTGCTGGAAAGGCAAACTTTTTCAAAGCGATTGGGGTAGCAAGTCAAGTATTCAACACGCTGACGGAAGTGATTCAAGGCCCGTGTACATTAAATCAACAAGCTTTAGCGCACTCCCGTCTTTGGGACGCTGTTGGTGGTTTTCTTTTTCTCTTTTCACACATGCAAGAAAAGTTATCAAAGCACTCTAGTCAAGTGGACTTGCTGAAAGAACTGTTAAATTTGCAGAAGGACATGATTACGATGATGCTTTCTATGCTTGAAGGAAACGTTGTTAATGGTAAGTTAATTGAAGCTTTTATTTATATTGCATACATACATATGTACATACCGTCGTTTAAAATACAAAACCGCGTATCAAAAAAATGCAAAACCGCGTATAAAAAAAATGCAAAACCGCGTATCAAGATAATGCAAAAGCGCGTATGTGAGGTTGCATAAATTATTTTCTAGAGAGTAAAACACTCATATTTCGAAATGGTTCTCTTTTCTTATAAATCAATCGCATTTCTGGACGAATGGATAAGGATTGAGCTAAGAGCTTGTGTGAGCAAATCCAATTTTTGGCAGCAAATGTCAGTTACGCCGTTTTTTTCAGAATGACTATACGCGGTTTTGTACTTTAAACGACGATATGTAATAATAATTATTGGCTAAGTGTTGTTTCTCCTCCAATTTGTGGTTTTCCTCTTGATGTTGTTGCAAAAATGTAAGGACCTACAGTTTTACGAATGGTCCTCTGCAATAACGATACAACTTAAAACTCACGAAACAATACTATTATTAAGGCCCTTTAAATTTTCTCTAATCCATGTCTAATCCTTACTACTTACTTTAGTAATCCTTACTACTTACTTTACTTACTTGCTTACATAAGCCCTGTTCGCGTACGCACAATCCAGTAAATCCAGTACTGATTTTACTGGTTTTTTACTGGATGTCGTTTTCGTACGCAAAAACTTGCAAGAAACTAGCAAAAGTGGGGAAATTGAGAGAGCAAAAATGACAGCTGAACCTGCAAGTTTTACTGGATTTTTACTGGATCAATTTTTACTAGCAACTATTTGCTAGTAAGAAAAACAGCTGATGGCATGATGCTTAATGTAATTCACATTACCAAAATAATTGTTTGTGGTGCTTTTAGAGTTGCAATTGACAAAATAAACCTATTTAAATATATAATAAGATGGAAAATACTAGTTTTCTAAGAAAATTGCATCGGAAAATAACAAATTAATCAGCTGTTCATAAAACTAGCAACTTCTTGCTTGTTTTGCATTTTCGTACTTTCTTGCATATTTCACTCATTGGGAGTAAATATTGGCTTACTCTCCGAAATTTGGTTACTGGCAAGTTACTGGATATTTTTTGCTGCAGAATACGAAAACACAACTATAGTTATACAAGGATTATAGGAATGAGTAGTAAGGGTTTTTATTTTTTTGAGTTTTGAGTTGTGTCGTTATTGCAGAGGTGCATCGATATGTACAATTGTATTCATAAATTAGGTTGAAGTGGCTACTGAGCTATAACAACCTTCGAACTGATATTCGGAATATAAAACGATTTTTTATTGCTTCCTGCGTTTTCTTAACCTAAAAATGCCTTTGTTTATGTGTCATCTTGATTATATCGGTTTCCATTAGCGACAGCACAACTAGTCAATCCTTTACCGAATCCTTATGCAATCCCTTGTTTGATGAAGAAATCCTCGTACTTATCTCTCTCCAACGCCTTACACACTGCTCGTACCCAGTCGTCCTGCCGCTGCGCTTCGTATCGCCTCGATACTCTTTGTCGGAGATGCCCACACCCTATGCACTTTGTGCCCATTTGTTTCGGAAAAGATGTTAGGTATAGCGATTGCACCGTCGCATCCCCGCGCGCTTATTTTGAGTCACCTTTCCTACAACCGATGTGATACGTAATTGCGCTTACGCTCATTTTGGCTGCGTTTCTTTATACATTCCGGATAATCCCATTTCACAGCCGGAATAAACAGAATGAGTTTGAAATATACGTTGACATATCATCAGGAACGTTCTAAAGAATAAGTAAACAAAAAAGTTTATTCCAAACGTTCAGAATGAATAAAGAAATGCAGCCTTTATGTTTCACACTTATACCTACCTATGTGTGGCAATCCTTGTACCCAAAATAAGAACACAACGTAATGTATAGTTATATACATATCGCTCATTTACTTCAATAGTGTCTAGGGATAAAACGATACCAAGAAAGTATCGATACCTATACTTGGAAGTAGCATCGAAAGAAATTGTCGATACCTACTAAGTCTCGGCCTAAAAGTATCGATAACTACTTGTACCGATATTTGTACCCATCGTGGAATTACACCAGGTGAAGTAATTAGAGTGAGAAGAAAGATTTTCACACTGCCATATTTGAAGATTTGCCTATAAAATTTTACTATAGGGCAGCCGAATGTCAGAAAATAAAGCGAGAAAGCTGTTTTATTACTTCACCTTTATAAGATTTCTTTGTATAAGAAAACGCTATCACATATCTATGAATTTTTGTCAAAATAACTTATGTGACTATAATTTTTATACCCGAGCGCACTTGTGCACAAGGGTATATTAATTTTGTTCACATAACGGTTGTTTGTAACAGCCAAAACGAATCGAGATAGATATAGACAAATGTATACATAAATGATCAGGATGAAAAAAGAAATCGATTAAGCCATGTCTGTCTGTCCGTCCGTCCGTCCGTCTGTCCTTCTGTCCCTCCGTCCGTGTACACGATAACTCGAGCAAAAATTTAGATATCTCAACGAAATTTGGTACGTAGGTTTTCCTTAATCCAAGGTAGGTTGGTATTGAAAATGGGCGAAATCGGACTTTAACCACGCCCACTTCCCATATAACGGTAATTTCCAGAAATACGAAAACTGCGATAGTTTAGTAATTACTGAAGATAATTCACTCAAATTTGATATTTACAATAATTTTTAGACAAAAAATAAGAATATTTTAAATTTTTGGAAAATGGGCGTAGCCACGCCCACTTATGGTTATATGTGTATATCTTGGTAACCGCTCCACCAATTTCTTCCAAACTTGGCACAGTTGTTGGCCTTCGCACAACATACCAAATAACCACGCCTACTTCCCATATAACGGTAATTTTCAGAAATACGAAAACTGCGATATTTTAGTAACTACTGGAGATTATTCACTCAAAATTGATATTTGTAATAAGTTTTAGACGAAAAATAAGAATATTATAAATTTTTGGAAAATGGGCGTAGCCACGCCCACTTATGGTTACATGTGTATATCTTGGTAACCGCTGCACCAATTTCTTCCAAATTTGGCACAGTTGTTGGCCTTGGTACAGCATAGAAAATCGCCGAAACTTTTAAAATCGGACAATAACCACGCCCACATCACATATAACGGTAATTTAGAGAAATACAAAATCTTCGATAATCAGTAAATATTGAAGCTAATTTATTCAAAATTGATGCTTGCAACATCTTTACCAAGAAATACGTTTATGGTAAAATTTTGGAAAATGGGCGTGGCACCGCCCACTTATGATCACATATAAGTATATCGGTAACCGTTCTACCAATTTGTACCAAACTCGGTGTGGTTATTGTGCTTGCCACATATAAGCAAAACGTTGAAAATTATTGAAATCGGACTAAAATAACGGCCGCTTCTCATATAACGGTAAATTTCAGAAATGCTTGAAACTTCAATATTTCGAAATTGAAGGACGCTAATTTACTCAAAATTGATACACCCCGGCTTACCATCTAGCGGTAGGTTTCGGAAAGGTGAAAAAACATATATTTAATATTTGCGCCGGGTATTTAATGTTCGGCTCCGCCCGAACTTAGACTTTCTTACTTGTTGATTTTAGAAAAGGTTTAAGTTTTAAAACATGTTTTACTAGGATGGCCTCCCAAAAGAACAAGAAAAAGTGCAAAGTCCAATATGTTGTTTTTTAAAAAGTCTCCAGAATTTTGTTAACATAATTTTTTTGTATTTTGTGTACGTATTCTATTTGTAATACACAAACTATTATTTTGTACAAAGAGAAATAAATTGAGATCAAAGACAATTATTTTAGAATTTACTTCATACAAATTAATTAATTAATAAAAGTCATATGTATTATAACACTGTTCAACAGCAGTTTTGCAAAGTAGTAATGGTATATTTCTGAAAGAATCATGTTGATAATTTTTGGAGGACAACGTTATAGTGTAGTGTAGGCATTCAGGCATAGAGTGAAAAGTAGCTAAGTCCATTTGAAGAAAATTTACAATGGAGGTAGAGCTGTCAAACTATAGGTAGTAAGGCCACTCGACAGCTTGCGATAGTTTAGCTGCACTATCGATACTATCGCTACTATCGAAACGTTTTTATTATATACTAAGCATATTTTCTTTTATTTCCATAAGGGTACAGTAGACTGCACATCACCAAAAAAGGTTGCGGTTTTTCTACCAAAATTTTTCGAAAAATATTAAGATTTACGTGAGCTGGACCGGTTGGAAAATACCTCTAAAAATTGAGTTTTTTATGAATAAAAATAGTTTCTTAAAAGATTTTTTGGAAAAAATCCGCTCAGATGACAAAAAAGTTTAAGCTTAACATAAGCTTACATAAAAATGTTAAAAACATGTATAATAGTGAGATTTTTGATGCTGTTTTTTTAACCTTTTTCAAAGATTTGTGTAAGAAGAAGTTGAATAACCGCTCTAAACCTTTACCGATATAGACTTGTGAGGTATCAGTGGAAAGCTATTTTCTCACCCTTATTCTATTCTTATTTTATTTCTTTGCAAAAAGGCTCATTCACGTCCCAATTTTTTCTTTATCAAATACCAACACATCTTAATTCAACATGGAATGACACTCGTTTGTCTTACCTTCCTCTTTCATACTTTGAATGAGCTTATTCGCAAAGAAATTAAAAGGGTGAGAAAATACCTTACCAATGATACCTCATAAGTAGGGAAGACAACTAGTAATTTTTAGCAAAAAAAAAACCGACTTCAACTCCCATATAAAAAAAAATATATATATATATATATCTCATGATCCGCTGATCGGATCTTAACCAGATTAGTATGGGACCACCTCTGAGACACTATCTTTCCGATGCAAAATATCGAAATCGGTTAACGTGGTCCAAAGTTATGCGGTAACATAAATAAAAAAAAAAAAAAAAAAAAAATATTCCGACGAACTGATAACCTCCTCCTTTTTTGGAAGTCGGTTAAAAATATGCAAATGCATATTCCATATGCAAATGCATATTATGACACAAAATGCATATTTTGGCGAAAAAATGCATAAAAATGATTTCTTTGGTAATAAGTTACCTAATTTTCGCATAATTTCATATGACAATACCTTTGCGGAGATAGCCAGTGTCGCTGACGAGGTTTGTTTAATTGACAAAAAAAAGGCTGACAAACAATGAAAAGTCCCGTTATTTTCTAGTAAACAATTTTAATATACTCGTAAATAATTTTCGACTGTCGTTTTCCGATAGTCAAGTTTCGCGCTAAACCGGTTTTGGTGGTTGAAAAATTCAATAAAAACATTTCCTTTTTAGCGAAAGCTGTTTAACAGTTTCCAGGTGTGTTGCGAACTGAGCAACGAGTTTTATTCTGCATCTATTGTAACCCTTGCAACTTCTCAATATCAGCAACAAAAATATTTTGTGTGAGGCAACACTTCAATAAAATGTTGCAACATTTTCACTTGGAGAATTGTCATCTTTTAAATCCTGTCCAACAAAGTCTTGTGACGTAGAACGTTCATTTGCAATATTTTCAATACATACATATATGTAAGTATGTTAAAAACTTTTCATGCGATAATCGAAAAAAATTTCGTTATACATATACATTTTTTGGGGCATATATCACGCACATTTTTTAAATTTTGGAGTCATTTTAATGATCATATAATTAAGTTTTTTGTGCATATTTTTGTCTTCCCTACTCATAAGTCTAAACTAGTAAGATTTTGGCTGAGTTAAGCATCAAAAATCTCATTATTACGATTCCGTAAAAAATTTTGGAGGTATTTTCAAATCGGTCCAGGTCAAGTCAATCTTAATATTTTTCCGAGATATTTTGGTGGAAGTGGAGTTTTTTTCTATGGGGAGTGATGCAGTCTAGTGTACAGTAATCAATATAAAAAAAAAAATACAAAGAACATAATCGGCCCTATTATGGTTGTCGAGGTCGATGTAATATTTTCATAAAAAAATAGCCCTCGTAAGTCGAACTCTAACTACGCTTACCACAGGAAGAACACCTTTCCTCGAAAATACTGTGGTCAGCGTAGCTGAAGTTGGACCTACGAGGGCTACTTTTTGATGAAAAAGTTACATCGACGTCGCGACGACGTCGAAAACCATAATAGGCTCGAATATTATTTTAAAAAACTCACCAAGAAACTTAGTTTTAATTTTTTTTAATTAGGTATGTATACATATCATAAGAAATCCGTTTTTGTTATATGTGACCTGGTCTACGGAAAGGGGGCTTAGGTGTCAAAAAATCAATTTTCACTTTTTGGTTGATTCGGATGGAAGATGAGATGCTTTTTCACGTGGTGAAAAGCAGAAAATCCTAACTTGCTTAGAAGTGTACTAAAATTGTAGAGAAAGAAGAGTAAAAATACGACAAAACTACACACACTAGCAACTTACACTTACACGATGAACTATAATAATATTCCGACCAACAACAACACTTACTGGACCAACAACAACACTTACTGGACGTCCGGCGCGGAACAATTAACGAGATAATGAGAAACTGACGAAACGAGTTGCTTACTTTTAACAGCTTTTTCACAGAAAACTAGTTTTCGCACGTAAGCTCCCTTTTCGTAGACCAGGTCACATATAACATAAAATAATCAATGTTTCAAACATGAAAAATATTTGGCAAATTTAAGGTTGGATTTTTTTATGAACGGATCAGTTCAATAGTTAAAACTATTAAACATTAATTTGCATATTTGAAAATCACAGTAGCTATTCGTTTTTGACAAGATTTATGGCTGTTTTCCAAAATAAACTCTAACTATAAATTTACATATTTTCACGCAAACATATAGAAAATATATTATTTTATTCTCAAAATACTTACCCGTATAATAAATTTATTAGCCATAAAATTGTCACCGCTTGGAAAATGGCGCAAAACTAAG